CAAATAGGAAAAAGAGGCTACAATTTGCAAGAGCTCACCAAAATTGGACAGTTGAAGACTGGAAAAATGTTGCCTGGTCTGATGAGTCTCGATTTCTGTTGAGACATTCAGATGGTAGAGTCAGAATTTGGCGTAAACAGAATGAGAACATGGATCCATCATGCCTTGTTACCACTGTGCAGGCTGGTGGTGGTGGTTTAATGGTGTGGGGGATGTTTTCTTGGCACACTTTAGGCCCCTTAGTGCCAATTGGGCATCGTTTAAATGCCACGGCCTACCTGAGCATTGTTTCTGACCATGTCCATCCCTTTATGGCCACCATGTACCCATCCTCTGATGGCTACTTCCAGCAGGATAATGCACCATGTCACAAAGCTCGAATCATTTCAAATTGGTTTCTTGAACATGACAATGAGTTCACTGTACTAAAATGGCCCCCACAGTCACCAGATCTCAACCCATTAGAGCATCTTTGGGATGTGGTGGAACGGGAGCTTTGTGCCCTGGATGTGCATCCCACAAATCTCCATCAACTGCAAGATGCTATCCTATCAATATGGGCCAACATTTCTAAAGAATGCTTTCAGCACCTTGTTGAATCAATGCCACGTAGAATTAAGGCAGTTCTGAAGGCGAAGGGGGGTCAAACACAGTATTAGTATGGTGTTCCTAATAATCCTTTAGGTGAGTGTATATATATATACAGTATATAGAGCAAACACACACATATATATAGAGCATAGAGCAAACACACACATATATATTTATATATACATATATGTGTGTTTGCTCTATTTAACCCTCATTTTATGTTGTGGGTCAATTAGACTTTTCGATTTTTGAGTTGACTGAAATGCTGGTTAACCTGTTTTTTTTTCTTCTTAACACATTGTGTTTTTTTCTTATGGTCATGTACATGCATGCAAAGTTTCAACACGCTGATGTGTTTTTTTGACATGTACACACTACACACATAATTACTATTACGCTTGTAATGTTCATGGGTCAATTTGACCCACATATTTTAATGTTCTAAGGCAACTGTACAGATCCAAAATAATAACATTTCTTGGTTATATTTTATTTATATTTTTATATCTGAAATGCTTCAGTTGTAACCAAAATTATTCAACCCCCGTTGCAAATCTGTTTTATTGGCAAAATTTACAGACTGTCAGCTGTTTGCAATGAACAAATCAAACAAATAGCTCAACACAACAAATGTTTCAAGTGGTTTCCCCAAATTCAACTGAAAATGCAACTTTGAATGACTCTGCAGTCTCAAAGTTATTTAACCCCTTCATGGCAAGCATCTTAGAACACCCTTTTGCTGTTATGACCTTCTGCAAATGAGATACATAACCAGACACAAGCTTCTGGCAGCGTTTCTGAGGAATCTTAGGGTGTATTCACACCTGCCTTGTTTGGTTCGATTGAATCGAACTCTAGTTCGTTTCCCCCCTTGGTGTGGACCTTTTGGGCAGGTGTGAATACAGCAATCGAACTCGGGTGCGGACCAAACAACCGAACCGAGACCCAGCTGAAGAGGTGGTCTCGGTACGGTTCCAAACGAACTCTGGTACGGTTCGTTTACGGTGTGAACATGAACCGACCCAATTGCAAGAAAGCACTGCGCCTTTGAGTTAACAGGCTTCCGTTACCGTAGTCGGAGTTGCGTTATGGGAAAGTGATCTGTTGTAGCCTACTACATTACATCTGTTGCACGTCTTTCTGCGCGTCGTGTGTGCATCATTGGAATGGAATGAATGAATGAGTGTGTGCATCAGGACATTCACATACAGAGCGTTCTCTTTAGTCTAATCGCGCATAGATGCAAAAAAAACATTTGCAGTTCATATAATGTAACGATAGTTACAATACAAGGATGATGCTGCGTTAATTTACGTTAAGCCTTTTTTGCACTTCCTGATTTCCCTGAGAATCCTTGTCCAATGAATGGACGACCTTAGCACACGTGTGGTTTTGTTCACAAATTTTGGTTCACTTGCAAAAAGAGCAGTGTGAAAGCGAACCGTACCAAAAAAAAAAAAAAAAAAAAATTATTTGGTCCGGACCAAAGCAAGTGAACTATCGGACTTTCCTGGTGTGAATACACCCTTAGTCCATTCCTGATGAGATATGTCCTCCAGTTGAGTCACATTCATGGGTTTGTGTGCTGCAACCGCCTTCAAATCCCACCAGAGATTTTCTATGGGGTTCAAGTCAGGTGACTGTGATGGACACTGTAGAATCTTCCAGGACGATTTCTGCAACCAAGCCTCGGTGGAATTTGAGGTAGGCTTGCATGGGATCATTGTCCTGTTGGAAGGGTCCAATGACGCCCAAGCTTCAGCTTCCTCACTGACGGCATGACGTTTTCTCCTAGGATTTCCTGATACTTCAATGAATCCAACTTGCCTTCCACACACTCACACACTGCAGGTTTCCAGTGCCAGAGGATGCAAAGCAGCCCCAGAGCATCACCGAGCCCCACCATGCTTAACTGTAGACAGTGTGTTCTTTTCAGCATATGCTTTCCTCTTCTTCCTCAAGAAATACCGCTGATCCGTATAGGGCCGAAAAGTTATGAAAAGTTATAGGAATTATGTGTCAATATAACAACTAACATTTAGTGCCTTCGCTATCTTTTTGTATCCTGTTCCTTGATTGTGAATTTCAATGATATTAGGGCTGCACGATATTGGGGCAAAGATATGCATACAGAATTTTAATACGATTTTGATATTCGTTGGTCAATTTGACCCTTATTCAAAAGCAACTGTACAGACCCAAAATAAAAACATTTCTAAATTGTATGTCAGGGCTCTTCAACTCCTGAAGCACCAGTGTCTGGGTTTTTAAAAAAATTAAAGTTTGTGAAAACAAAACTATTTTACCTGTTAGCTGTCATTCCCTCTTTTTGAGCATAGACATGAAAATGACTTTTCCAACTTAAAATTGTTGTAAATTTTGAATACTTTGGAGCACAGACTTAAGTTTGGTATCTTTTTAAAGGGGACACTTCACACTTCGCTTCACTTCAAAGTTATAGAAGTTTAGGTTTATGAAAATGTAAAATATAAAAATATTTCTATATATATTTTAAATAAAATATATATTTTACAAAACATGTTCAACTCTAAAACTTCAAGACAATCAAAGCCAAACATTTGAACAAGTTCTGGGCCGAATTTTAGGTTGATATCTCAATAAATGAGCTTTCAGTAAGATTTTTTTAGGTGAAGTACCAAACTTTTCCAGACACCATTGGTGACCATATAAGGACTCTTCCATTTCCAATATGGTTTCCATAATTTTCTAGCTATTTACGAAGTAGACATTCTATTTAGAAGTAGTTTTGGCAGTAATGTTAATATTTTATATAAATTCAACCTCTAAAACCCACATAAACAAAATAAAATCACAAATGCACAATCTATCGCTATTTATCTATTGCTCTGGCATTTCTTTTGAAAATCAGTCACCAAATATGAAATCTAGAGTCTGAAAGCTTTCAAATGATATGTAGTTTGTCAAGATTACTCTAGGTTAGACTATTGTGAAAAATGTGTAATGACATTCCACAGGTGTGAGGGAGGGGCAGTCTTAAAAACAGTGGTTAAAAACATTTTTATTTATTCTTTGTAATGTGTGAAAAGTATTGATATTAAAAGTTTATTGTTTGTAACTGATTGTGGGCTTTTTTTTCTTCTTCAAAGTGTGATTTTTGTGGAATTGTCTTGAATCCAATTAAGGTCAGTTTGACCCACTCCAACAAGATTGTACGCAGAAATCGAAACTGTCTCGGGCACAATCTCAATCCCCAATACGCTTATCCAATTAACATATAATTGTCTCACTCATTAAGAAAGACACACCTAGGCCAAGCACAAACACTCATCACAAACACACATTGTTTCCTGCACCTCCTTTCAGCAGCGAGGGATCTTCAGTAAAAGACACATCATATTTGTTTTTAGTTGTGAATGTGAGTGTGCCATGTTTATTGGATGTGATTCAATAGCGTACTGTGCCAAAATGCAGTAAATCTCTACTGAGTTGACCTTGCGGGCTCCACGCAAAAACATACAGCCTGGTCAGTGTTCTCCGATTCATGAACAAATTATTCTTATGAGCTGGTGTTTTTTAGTGAATCAAAAACATAGCTTGACAAGAGTAGTCTGATTCCTGAACGAATGACTATAAGTTGGTTCTTTAAATGAATAATTTAAAAAGACGAATTGTCTGCTTGAATCAGTCCGACGAATCCTTGACTGAACTGAATTAACATCTGACTCAATTAATGAACTAGACGCTATTGTTATTTTTAGTGATGGTGCATCGAACATTTTACATTACCATTCCAAAGAATGGGCTCAGTATGATTGTTTTTTAAAAGTATACGTTACACTCACCAAAAATACAGATTTGATCTTTGGAACATTATATATACACAAAGAAATGCGAAAACATAATTCTGTAGGAATTACTGCAGGAATTCCTCATATTGCTCAAAAAGAGGCAGATTAGGTATTAAGTAGGCTGTTTATAAACACCTACAAATACATCTGTGCACATTTATACACAGAGATCCAATGTAATCTGGCCACATCCGCTGGAGAAACAAGTAACTTGTTCAAGCAAAGCAGAAAACAGATGTAGAAAGGATAAAGAGGTAAACAGCCGTCATGTTGCACAATAATGCAGGAAAAAACAAACAAGCAGACCATGGGAGAAACCTTTGCTTTATTCGTTTCTTTCCAAAGAATTCAGTATGTTTTAAGGCTTCATCTGAGTGGTTGAGACCTTGATTTAGAAGTTTACCAAAATAGTATTTTGAACTTCTTCAACAACCATTCAAAAATGCATTGCAAAATTGATAGCAAAATTTTTAATTGTCATCAAAGGTGTTTTTAGTGTGGTAATGTAATGTAAACGGTTACACTGCTATATAAGTGTTGAGTGATACTCAAAGTGTTCAAACTGTTAACTTCATGCAGTTTTTATTACATGGTTGCATAAATGTATGTGCAGCTTATTCATAAAACACAACAATATAAAAATGTTTTTGTTCCTTTTTGCTGGATATTTTATATTTTAAAATGATTACAAATTATTTGTAAACATAGAAATAACTGCAAAATATGAGAAAATGGCAGTCCATGCTCACTTACAGACAGAGTAAAACAATAATTTTTAAACTGTTAAGCTAATAAAAAAATGGAGAATGTCATATATGTTTTCTGTGAGTGCTATATTAAATGCTCTTGTGGTGACGTGCATGTGCTCATTTAGCATAGATGTGTCGATAAGGACATTAAGTGATGAATGCAGTCTAGAAGTTTTCAAATTGACAATCAAAGTCTGTCATTCGGCACAAGATGTACTTCCACTGCCGATCCCTGCAAAGCATTGAAAAGCCCCACATAAGGAAAACAATTTTGAATGCATTAATAGCCAATAAAACGTCTCAGGTTACGACTGTAACCGTAGTTCCCTGAGAAAGGGAACGAGACGATGCGTCACTTGACGCCTTGGGAACGCCCCCAGCGTGAATGCGTCTGAGCATCAATGTCAACTAGTCCAATGGAAAGAATGAGCGTCACGGGCGGGTGACGTCATGACCAGGAAGGGATAAAGGCTCACCCGGTGAAACGCGGCATTAGCTTCAAAAAGTCGAAGCAAGCCGATCACAGGGAAGCAGGAAGTATGGCAGGGTGACGCATCGTCTCGTTCCCTTTCTCAGGGAACTACGGTTACAGTCGTAACCTGAGACGTTCCCTTTCGAGGGAACTCTCGATGCGTCACTTGACGCCTTGGGAACGAGAATACCCAAAACGCCAGAATTCCAAGTACCTGAGTGTTAGTCTGTTGGAACTAAGCACTAAGCACCTGAGAACCTGGGGCAGCATCCAGGTCCAAACTGTAAAACCTGACGAACGTGAGCGGTGAGGACCAGCCTGCCGCATCACATACGTCTTGAAGAGAAACTCCAAATAATAAGGCTTTAGAGGCCGCCATACCCCTCGTAGAGTGAGCTCTGACCACCAAAGGACACGGCTGGTCAGAGTACTCGTATGCAAGTGAAATAGCCTCAACTATCCACTTACTAACCGTCTGTTTAGAAGCAGGAAGACCCTTCTTAGGTGATCCAAAGCAAATAAATAACTGGTCGGACTTCCTCATTGAAGATGTCCGATGAACATAAGTATCCAGTGCTCGCACTGGACACAAGAGGTTCAGCCTTTCCTGGTCCGCAGATGTAAAAGGAGGACAGAAACCTGCAGCACAATAGGCCTCGGAATAATGGTAGGCACCTTTGGAACATATCCATGTTTCGGGTAAGAATGCCTTGGCCATCCCCGGTGCACTCAAGGCAGGTGGGGACCGAAAGGGCCTGAAGGTCTGACTCTAATAGGGACGAAATAGCTAGCAGAAATAGTCTTAAAAGAAAGGAACTTCTCTGAGACCAAATCTAAGGGCTCGAAGGGAGCCCCAGATAGGCCTTCTAGAACTATTGCAAGGTCCCAAGCCAGCACCCTAGTGCAAGTTGCAGGCCTCAGCCTCAAAGTGCCACGAAGGAAACGAGTGATCAGGGGGTCTCGACCCAAAAATGTACTACCCACCAGGGCGTGGAAAGCCGCAATGGCCGCCACGTATACCTTAAGCGTGGAAGGACATAGACCTGATACAAAGCGTTCTTGCAGAAACTCGAATACTGTGTTTACTGAACAGTTAACCGGATCCCACTGACGCTGGTAACACCAAGAAGTGAAAAACTCTCGAAATAGTGAATATAGTTTCCTCGTAGCGGGAGCTCTGGAGCTTAGAATGGTCTCAACAACCTCGGTTGAGAGACCACTCTCTATGAGTTGGGCCCCCTCAGAGGCCAAACCCACAGTTTCCAAATCCCCTGCCGGGGGTGCAATATTGCATCCCCTGCCTGAGACGGAAGGTCTCTCCTGATCGGGACCTCCAAGGGAGGTCCGTCGAGGAGAAAAATTAGGTCCGCAAACCAAATTCAGCTCGGCCAGGGTGGTGCTACTAAATAGGCTTATTCCATCCTGGCGGAATCACTCCAGAACTCCTGGGAGCAGAGCAACAGGGGGAAATGCGTACAGACGTAGCCTCAGCCACGTCTGCACCATAGCAACCAGCCCCGTGGGGACTGGTTGAGTGAGGGATAACCAGAGTGGACAGTGCGTCGTACTTTTGCTGAGACGAGAACAAATCCACTTCTGCCTGGCCATAAAACTCCCATATTTGCTCCACCGCCTCGGGGTGGAGTCCCCTGGCCTCAGCCCCTGCCTCGACAGGGTGTCTGCTCCAATATTCTGCCCCCCCTGGAATATACACTGCCCTCAGACAGCGTAATTTCCTGAGGGACCAAAATAATAGGCCACCAACGTGTTGTCTGTGGGTCAAGAACCAGAGTTTCCTCCATATAACCAAGGCGCGGGGATACTGCCGCGTGATCTTGATCGTACGGAGTGGGTTTCCCCTCAGGGAGAACCCTCTGGTCCTGAGCCACCACTGTAAAGGTCTCACGTACAGCAGGTCAAAGGGTATCACATTGAACGCTGCTGCCCTGAGGCCTAACAGTCACTGTTTCAGAACAACACATGATGGCCCCTCAGGTCTGGGAGGAGATGTCTCAACGCATTGAAGACGACCATCATCTCTAGGCAATTCATGTGCCAAGCGAGATGATGACTCCTCCCAAGCCCTGAGCTGAGCGGCCTTCCAATACCGCTCCCCAGCCGGTGAGGGAAGCATCTGTCGAGATAGCAACTCGATGGCAAAGAGCTCCCAACACCAAACCCTGGGTTAAGAACCAGTGTTTCCTCCATATAACCAAGGCACGAAGGCACGGCCGCGTGATCTTGATCATACGAAGTGGGTTTCCCCTCGGGGAGAACCCTCTGGTCCTGCGCCACCACTGCAAAGGTCTCATGTACAGCAGGCCAAAAGGTATCCCGTTGGACGCTACTGCCACAAGACCCAACAGTCTCTCGAACTGTTTTACAGTGCGTGACTGGCCTAGCTTTAGCTCTATGGTGGCTGTCAGGATAGCAGCTACACGAACGGGCGATAAAGTGGCCCGCATCGTCACTGAATCCCATACCACACCAAGGAAAGTGGTTCTCTGTACTGGAGAAAGAACACTTTTCTTGGCATTGAGCCTCAACCCCAACATCTGCATATGAGCGAGAACGACACCTCGGTGCCGAACCGCTAACTGTTCTGATTCCGCTAGAATCAGCCAGTCATCTATGCAATTCAGAATGCGTATACACTGCAGCCTGGCGGGGCCAGAGCTGCGTCTATACACTTCGTGAACGTGCGGGGTGATAGAGCTAGACCGAAAGGAAGTGCCTGATACTGGTGTTCTTTGCCCCAAAGAAAACCTCAGGAACCTCCTGTGCTGAGGGAGGATGGAGATATGGAAGTATACGTCTTTTAGATCTATCGTGACAAACCAGTCCTCGGATCTGATTTGAGTCACGATCTGTTTGAGTGTCAGCATCTTGGACTTGAGTTCCAGCACCAAACACTCCAACAGACGAAGATCTAGTATGTGACGCTGCTCTCCATCCTTTTTTGGAACAATGAGATAACGACTGTAAAGACCCGACGCAATGTCCGCTGAGTACACCTGCTCTATAGCTTTCTTTGCTAACAGGGCCTTTACCCCTTGCTCCATTACCAGAGAGATTACCATTACCCATAGAGATATATTTGGCAGTAGCTTCCGCGCTGCCAGAAAACCTACCAAGGGAACCAGCCCCTCGAGGCTGGCCTCTGGTGTAATAAAGACAGCCAGTTCGGGGACCTGAAACATACTGGCAGGAACCACCCGAACTGACTGTTTTCGAACCCCCCTCAGAGGGGCGCGAGTCCGACGCAATGTCGAGTTGACGCTGCGCCAGAAGCTCGCTGGAGAACGCTGCGCCCCGAAGCACCAAGGGTGGCGGGGTTGGCAGAACGATCCCCTGAGGGCACAGAGATGGAAAGGGCACCGTATAATGAGGTGTACACCATTCCACCCCGGTTGGGGCTGCCCTCACCGGTCTGATGCCGTGGCGCCAGACCTTTCCTTTTGAGCCGCAGCCTTCTCAGCATGAAGAACGGTCCTCGGATCCGGCTTCTGCTTTGAAGGCTTTGGCTGCTGTGTTGTGTATGAGAAACTAGCCGGCTGGAGCTGCTCACGCCCAGCAGCCCCAGTGGGTTGGACATAGCGAGGGAGAGATTATCTTGTATCTTTCTCCATGATTCCCATCAAATTGAGCCAGAGGTGTCTCTCAGTGACCACATTTCTTTGGCTGCCATCCCTGAGAGATAAATCTGAGGCCCGACGGAGTTCTCAAACCCCATCGGGCCAAACTCCCTCACTTCTGTCCAAATACCACAGCAGGTCAGCCTGATATGCTTGCAGCACTGCTATAGTGTGCAAGCAGGCTCGTGCTAGACCCACTGCCATACATGCTTTTCCCACTAGATTAAAAAACAGTTTTCTTTAATGGTTTAGTGAGAGAAGCCGACGCCTTCAGGGACGATACTGAACCGGGAGACATAGCTCGCAAGTGTCTGTTCTACCCGGGGTATTGCCCCATAGCCATACTCTCTTAACCCCCAAATATCTGAATATACATGAATGTGGGGCTAAAAAATGAGTAAGGCTTTTTCCATGATCTAGACAGCTCGCTGTGCAGATCGGGAAAAATGGAAGGCCCCGTGATGGAGGTGGAAAAATAGAGGGAAGGAAACTCGTTCAATTTATTTTAAGGACGAGTGCCCCCATATTTCTGCTGGCCATTAAATATTTAATTCATCTACAGCCTCAGTAAACACCTCCACCAGCTTATTATTATATATATATTTTTTATATACATTCTTTATATATATACACTTTATTTTATATATAATATATAAACTATCATATATATATATATATATAGGCTATATATAATTCTCATACGCTGGGGAAGAGATGGCAAATCCACTTTCCCCATGATTGTGTACACTTTCAATGCCCAGCACATCTACCTCCTCGGAGGTAGAGCACTGAAGCATTGATTTCTCTCCCCGGGCGGAAGAGACAGCAGCGCGGGCTTCCGAGACCGGAGAGAGAGCACTGGATCCCTCGTGGAAAGGGAGGAGATAAGATCCGCGGACCCGTCTCCAACCCCGTAACGAGATCCTATTCGCGATCCACAGGAATGCATTCTCCGCGCTGCCTCGGCAGACGCGTGTCCTGCACCCCGAGGATCGCGAGCCTGGCCACTTTCCTCGAAAAGTGACAGGCGGGAGTGGAGCATGCGAAGCGAAAGCTTCTCACAATGTTGCAATCAGCCCCCTCGGAGGCTGATACCGCATGCTCCACTCCCAAACAAACTACACAAAGCTCGTGTGTGTCCCCACCCGTTAAATAACGCGGGCAGGGAGAAGCACAGAGTTTGTAAAGTTGTTTCGCCATAACTCTTCCCAATAATATCGAACAGACAACAATAAATAGACAGAGACAGAGTAACACAGATCGCTTGCTGAGACACAGAAGCTAATGCCGCGTTTCACCGGGTGAGCCTTTATCCCTTCCTGGTCATGACGTCACCCGCCCGTGACGCTCATTCTTTCCATTGGACTAGTTGACATTGATGCTCAGACGCATTCACGCTGGGGGCGTTCCCAAGGCGTCAAGTGACGCATCGAGAGTTCCCTCGAAAGGGAACAATGCATACATCTGTTATAAAATGGATGTTATTTTGACAATAACAGACAAAACCTCCAGCTCCAAGTGCAAAAGAAGATGAAGTGTTCACAAACCTCAGTACACCACTGAAAGTAGTTTGGGCCCCCCTTATGAAGTAGCCGTAACTGGGAATTACCATCTCTCCCTCTTCTCTGTGGTACTCTGGAACATCAGTCGTCTTCCTGTGCATAAACCATGAAAATGCAATTAAAAGGAAGGTTATAAATGATCTGAAAGACAATCTATTGTCCAGTTTTAATCTAATTACCAGAGGACACATAATCCTATATATCTATTATAGTGAATTACCTGAGGTGTGTACGTGTAGAGTTTTTTTTAGTAACCGTGATTTTGCCAAGTAAAGCATGTTCTGGATCAACATACTGTATTTTGTTGATCCTGGAACAATATTTCTGTCTGAAAATTGAGTCTTAATCCTATCCCTACCCCTAAACCTAACCATACCCATAACTTATCCCTAAAACCAGAGGGAAATGATTGGTGAATAACACTGATGTAGAAGAATCTAACCCTGGTTGTAAGCCTAAACTTGACATAAACTAACAAATCTGATTGGTTGATTGGAAAGTTGTTCCAACAGGGATTTGATCCAGGTCCAGGAACATGTTGTATTTGGTGAAATCACATTCACCTTACTTGTATGATTAGATCACCATTTGGTGTTTCAAGACTCACCAGCAGGAATACGGGCATCTGCGGGCATATCGACAGCAGTAGAACTGCCATTCTCGATCCAGAACCGCTTCAAAGTACTGACTTTGAATGCCAGCAACCAGCCCATTGTTAGTGCAAACTGAGGACCTGTAGACAGTACAAATATGGCTTTTATATAGAGAGAAAAGGCAGAACAATAGACATTTGTTATTTGTTAAATGAACATGAATCCTTCAAAACAAAGCTTTGGAATATTTGTGTATTCCGTGGATTCAAATAAACTGTCTCACATGTGGCATGTGGTCTTGTGAGGTGTGCCTGCTATTATATTGACCTTGTATTGTGTGCATCTTCCTGTTTATACCAAAGGGCTGACTAAAACAGCAAGAGAAACATGTGCCTGACAAACATGCATGAAGTTATGGCCCTTTGTCTGGCTCCATTTGTTCCATTTTGCCATTGAGGATCTTAAAATGAATCTTTAGAATTTTCCACAGGTTCCGAATATCAGAGTTATTTGACTGCAGGCCGTGCAGATATTCGGGGGAAAAAAAACAGCACGACTGCAAGTGAGATATTGCTGTTGAACAACGGTTAAATAATTGGGAAGTTAATTGCAAGTAACTTACATTTTTCAGACAAAATATCGCCAGTTATTTTGTCTGTTTTTGCTTTGCTAATGAAATTAATGAAAAATCCCATTAGTGATCAACACACAGTAGTGTTTTTTTTCCCCCTCGGCATGCATTGCATCAAATCGTTTGAGTGAATGACTCATTCATAGAAACAATTCACTTGTTTCATTCCAGAAAGAATCAGCATTGTTGATCGCCGCTCAGCTGAATCACCCATCCATCCATTTTCCAAACCACTGGTCCAATGTGGGTACAGCGTAATATCATACAGGTATAAATTCCTTTTTAATTGATTATTAAATTGTTTAATTAAGGTTTAAACATGCTAGTTTCAATGACAGTTTAAGATTAATATTTTCATTACTACTGGAGCTGCCAGTTTGCTAATTTGCATTTCAAATGATTATTAAACAGCAAGCTCAAACTATGCAAAAGTGGGATTAGGCCTACATATATACTGCATGTTTTATACTGTATTACCATATTACATATACTCAAGAGAGTATGCGATTTCGAACGCAGCCCCAGTCTATCGGGGTCCTATATCAGCACTCTTTGTAATACTCTCGTCTAATCTTATTCAAGGACTAACCAATTTATAACTTTTAATGCATCACCCATCATATTTTTTATAGCACATTTAACCCTTGTAATTAAACTTCCACAGGTATGATAAACTTTGAGTATTGACTATATGAATAGCAAATTGAATAGCACATTTATGTTTGTTACAGTAGATGATTACCTGTCATGGCTAGTGAGTGAGCTAAAGGAGTTTTTACATATCATTACAAGCAATTCTAAATTGATTTAACCAGTCAATAATTAGAAGACTTAAGTTGCTTTTCGTTCAAGTTTGTTAACTCAGCAAATGTCACCCCTGAGGAGACAGCAAGATTTTAAGGTTGTAAATACAGGTTTGTAAATACTACTTGTTTGTGGTCCATACAAACTGTTGTCATCACAACAGGGACACAATCATGAGCTCTGCTCTGCTTCCCAGCCACCAGCAGTGCCAGACTTTTGTCATAGCAACACTAACGCAATGGGCGACCGTTCCACCAATAGGAAGTGGGCCAGAGCCTTCTCCCAGTAGAATGTCATCTATGCCTTAGTGCAAATCAGATGTGAAGAGGGAGACAGGAAAGAAGATACTCTTAAAGGACAGTCCTTGATTTAGAGGCATATATCCAAATTATGTAATGTAAACAACTGATTCTCCATTCAGATGAATGTCTAAGTTACAGGGTAATGCCGGCTAAAACTTTGTATATGGCAAAAATAAATATTTTTTAAATTAATTTATATTTTGTAAACAGTGCAGCTTAGGGATATATATATATATATATATATATATATATATATATATATATATATATATATATATATATATATTTATACATATATATACTGTATATCCCTAAGCTACATATACAATATACAAATATACAAAGTTTTAGCCGGCATTAACCTGATATATATATATATGTGTGTGTTACACTTTATTTTAAGGTGTCATTGTTACAGTGTAATTATATATTTAAGTACTAAGTAATATTAAGCAAATACATGTACTTACTATAGGGTTAGGGTATGATTAGAATTTGGTTGAGTTAGTTGCATTTAATTATGCCTAATTAACTGTTATTACTATGGTAAGTACATATAAACAAGGACACTGTAAAATAAAGTGCTACCTATATATATATATATATATATATATATATATATATATATTCAAATTGAAAATATATTTTGATTAAACCGTCAAATGTTAAAATATATGTAAAATGTTACACATTTTACAAGAAATTACCTTTTGGATTTGGGAAAATGATAAACTATATTTAAAATAGCCAAAATATATATCAAGAAATATAAGTAGCCTAACTAAAGCTTATTGAAAGTAAATGCATGTAAACATATTTTATCTTTATTACCAATATATATTTTGGGCATGGCTACCGGTCCAAAACTTGGGAAATTTATCTAAAGAGCATAAGACTGCATAATATGATTTCTTGATTGTAAATTCCCAGCATGCAGCAGACAGTATTCCCTCACAAAATGCTAGCAGTGAGCAGCAGACAGGGGGCTGAGGTCACTGGCACTGGCTCTAAGGAAATCTCACAAGGTGGGGAGTAGATCAGGGAAAACTATACTGATTCTAATTAACCCACTGGAAAAAATTCTCCCATTGCTTTTGGAGAAGGGAGAGAGAACTTGGAACACTGAATGGCCCTTGGCGCTGTTTCCCTCAGATGCCCTCAGAGACTGATCGCAGCAACCAGACTTTTCCTAACAAGCTGGAGAACTGGTAAAATAAGGCCACTTTTGTTAGAATCACATGGATTGTAAGTCATAGTAAGGGTCTTTCTAGCCATGATATGAAGTTAGTTACTGTGAAATTTATGGTGTTACACCACACATCACATAATTAGAGGAAGAAATAAGGCAACCATCTCACATCAAGACATTATCCTTATTGTATTAGAGGGGAAAACATGAGAGGGCTCTGAATCATTTTTCTGGGCAAACATTCACGTTCCTTTGGCCAACCAGAGTCTAGATGCAGGAAAGACTATTGCATTGTCAAACATGTGAGTCAGTTAGACAAAAAGATCTTTTCTTAATAGTTATTGTTCCAAAGCAGCATGTCAAAGGTGTGTGACAAGGAAATAGCCACTATAATGTTTAAACTAGTGCACAATATGCTGTTGCTTGTATTTACCTTCTGTTTGAGCTTTATGTTTTTAAATCAAGGCAGCAGTTATTAATTTTCAAAATATCCATTCAGTGTCCTGTATTGTAGCACAGTGAGTACAGAATGAGCTTATTATTTCTGGAAAAGTTTAATCCTAAACTGTTCAAAACAACAAAGCTTATACTGTTCAGTACAGTTCAAGCAACAGGGTGAAATAATTGGTCAGATTTCACCCCGAGAAGTTGTGTAAACCTGGCAAAAACGAGAGAATACTGCATCGGACATTTCTTTAAGTTGGTTTAGCTGTAATCGACAGTCAGAACTGCACGTACTATGAGAGACTGTGATGTTGTAATGTTTGCGATATCCTGAATATTATTTTGACGTCAATGTGACAGAGCTCTGCCCTACAAAGGCTAAGAGCAGTATCTTCAATTTTTCACAAAATGTTTTTTTGCACAAATAAAAAGTGCAGGATCTGCTCTACAATCTGTTAAAATTTCATATGGCTACCTAATACATTTCTTATATAAATTTACATTTTTAGTTGCAGTATTGTATAGAAAAGTAGAGTGAAACCAAGGCAGAATGCAGTATCTGCCCGTACTGCAGTCTGTTTCACTATGATACTGCAGTTTGCCTTTGTGTGGCATGAGTCGGGTTTTATAGCATACTGTATATGTATATAGCTCATATTTCATTTATTGATATATTGATTCCCTGAATGATTAAACTTAAACTGTTTGTAATTACATGTGAAGACCTATCCCAAACTGAAATAAAACCAATACGTTAATGATTGCCATAAAAAAACAGCACTTTTGTGAAACAATTAAAATATATTAATCTAATAATGTGTGTTTTTTGTTTGTTTGTTTTTTGAAAAATATGATTATAATGCCAAAGGGGATGGAAAGTCACAGCTTAGCAGAAAGAATGAAGATGGAGAAAACGGTCAAAAAAAAAAAACAAGAAAACGGGGGTTTACATAATATGCCACATAATTTTAATAGTTTGGTTATAATTAACATATACTGTACTTTTGGCGACTATAAGCAGCTGCTGCAGCTGTGTGCAAAGGTTTTGGTGATTTATGATTTATGATACAAGCAAGTGATTATGATCACTTGCTACACTTACTGCTAAATGTTATTGTATGGCCATGTAAGTATACGCAGTAATGCAAAGGCAAAGCGCAGTATAGCCTATAAAACTACCAAATTTTGCCTGACTGTCAAAAAACGAAACGTTTAATATTCACCTCCCTTTGATCTATCTAATTGTACCCTTTGTTGTTAAATTTAATTGGATGCTTATATTTGGTGTAAGAAAAACACAAAAAGCTGTTTTTCTCAGTTTGGAGTTTTTGCTGATACTGCTCTTAGCCAGAGCTGTCAAGCCCTGTTTATATGACAAGAACATCAAAATTACTGTTTATCATCACAATTACTTTTTATTATGGCTGTGCTCATGTGCACCAAGTAATTTAGTCTAATTTCTCCATTTCAAGTGTTTGTGCTTCCTGGATGGCTGACAGACATTTTGTTGTTTAATTTATATTATCAAGTTAAATGACACTTCAACATTCTATTTCTCATTCATATTCCTTTGGAATGCTTTTGTGTCTGTATAGTTTATCTCAGAAATGTGTCAGATATTGGCACTATAATTGAGATAGCGTGCATGGACCACATGACAGTTCTTTAGAAGAGAAGAAGAAATAATAACATGCCAGATCTAGATGAGTCCAAGATGTTCTGCTGTGACAACATATACAGTGACACAACTTAAATTTGGAATGCCATAGTGATTTTATAAATAAGATGTCATAGTACTGAAGTGATTCACAAATGTGCATTCAAACATGTTTGAGGTATATTTGTGGCAGATTGTTATAAGTTTCATTTTGGCAGTAAACAAGGCTCTTAAACTTAAGTGTTGCCATTATATCTCTTCTGTGGCTCGTGGTTTTTTGAGAACAGCTGACCTGAGGCAAGGATTAAATGATACTTATGAAATCTGGATTGGCCCAAACATCTGCTTGTCTCTCTCAAGTCCTATTTAAGAAACTTTCATTGTTTCCTCCTTGACAAACAAATTATCATGATGTTGTCAAAGCAAACACTCAACACTGAAAGCTAGCATTAGCTAGTGCTTTCAGTAAACATTCACATCTGAGTCTAATCATACATGCAAGAGAGCTCTCCACTTTACTTAGTATAAACCAAGCATACACAAACCAAAACTTTTTTAGGAGTCATCAGAAAAATATTTGCAACACAAGGAATATCTGTGTAGCATCAAAAATGTCCAAAAAGGCCTATCTGTCCAAAACCTGATTTCTTATAAATGCATCTTTCATTCATTTATGTTTATTCCCTGGATACTTGAACACTGTGCAGAAAAAAAAAGAATTTTTTTTTTAATCTATATTCTCTATAAAAATTAAAAATTAAAATTATATTAATTGACCATGACATCATTTCATTGTCTTTTCTAAATATTATTATATACAAAACAACATATTTGAGATATCTGTGTAGCAGAATATCAAAAATTATTCTATCAAAAATGGTTACAATCAAAAACTAAAATAAACTGTTAAACTGATAAACTGTTCCTTATCTAATGTCTTTCATTCATTTATAAGTTTTGACTTGGACACTTGAAACTGTGCAAAGTTCTAATCATTTTAATTATTAAAGATGCATTTTTGCATTTTTTTGCAAAGTTTTTTTGCAGTTTAGTTCCATCTACTGTATATTCTCTATGTATATATGTAACACATTTTAAAAATGAAACTGACTGAAACATCAAGGTGTCATTTTCATCGTCTTTTTCGTCTACGGTGAATGTTATTAAAACATAGTCACAAATGTGGTTTGTACAATGGCATTAAAATGCATATACATACATAGACCTGTGTTTGACAGGACACTGGCATCCACATACATACAGACATACCATTCCATCCCGGCTCTGTTGATATCGTCCCACCAGCATTCGCTAGGCTCTCCCCAGTTGTAGGGAGTTCTCTGGCACTCAAAGTTCCACAGGCGGTCCGAGCCTTCTTTCTCACTGAAGTAACTCTTGATTGCCACTAATGCCTCACCATGGGGACACTGAAAGTTGAAGCCCTGGCGCCAGGTATTCACCCAATCCTCATCGGTTTCATACATGTAGCCCTGCTGAGAACTGACCGTGGAGAAAAGCATCAGCAGGCACAGAGCCTTCAGAACATGTGCTGAGCTCATCCTGAAGTGAAACTCTGTGGAACCTCTCAACGCTTCCTCCGTCTTAAAGGCTCTCTGGGATGTGCTGTCCAGATGTTCTGTGTCCGGATACAGGGGTGATAATTTTCAAAATGAACAGACAGTTATGGCCAGGGATTGAACTTTTTTTTAAGGAGAATGTTTCAAGCCTCCTCCCAAACTCTGCCGTAGACCCTGAGCTGGATGTCTTAAAGAAAAATCTCACTTTATGGCCAAATGTTTGTAAATGGAAAGTTTTTTTTTTCAATCTATCATTCATTGTGTTAAACAGTGTGATGGAATGAGGAACTTTTCCATGAAATTTGGACTAAGAAAATTAGTTCTTTTCAATGATATATACTGTAAAAAGTAAATATGGATAGTTGTTACCTCAAATAACTATTTCTGATCTGAATCTTTAAGAATTACTTCATTATAGGCTATAACCAAATTTATTCAGATTCATGTATCATTTTAAATAATATTTGACCAGTTCTTTTAGGCATTACCGCATTAATTTTTTTTTAACAAAATTTCTTTCACACTCACATAGGGTTACAAACTGTAACCACAACTGTAACAATAGGGTTACAATAATTGGGTTACAGTTACAAAATTAAATTAAGAATAATCTTAGCCCAACCATTTTCCAAACTGCTTGTCATAGGTTCACAAGGATACTGAACACTATCCCAGGGTCCTGGGCCGGGAAATGCCCTGGACAGATGACAGTACTTATATACATATACTTTGGTTACACTTTATTTTAAGGTGTCTTAATAACAGAGTAATTATGTACTGTGTAATATCATTTAACAACAGAGTGTAAAGATTAGGATAGGGTTTAGTTCAGCTTTATTCGCATAATAATTACATATGTGTAACGTGTAACAAAGATACCGTTAAATAAAGTGTTTGGTAACATCACTTGCTATTAATCATTAGTTAAGCATTAGTAAACAGTTAATTCATCATTTATAAAGCATGCTTTATTCTTGATTTATAAGCGTATATAAAATGTGTTTAATTATTGTATTTTCCTACTTGATCAATTTATCATTTCTAAATGAAGTATTGTATTATTTACAAACCAGTTATTTAGGAGTTTTCAGTGGTTCATAAGATCACTTAGAAAGTGTAAGTAAATGATTAATAAATTGTCCTCACTTTAGATGAGCTCACAAAAATAGTTAACTGACCACTACTAAATGCTTCATATCTACCTGAAATAACCATGAATTACAGTAAGAATACATGTTAATAAAGCATTTATTAACACACTAAGTAACTATTACTGTATGTCTGAATAATAAGATGTATGTACATTTAATTAGTTTATTAATCATTTACTTACACTTTCTAATTTTCAATTTTTTCACATTTTACTCTACACGTTCTTATGAACCACTGACAACTCCTAAATAACTGGTTTGTAAATAATGCAATACTTCATTTATAAATGATAAAGTATGAAAATACAATTATTAAACACATTGTGCTTTGAAATCAAGAATAAAGCATTTATAGCTGTATTTATAAACTGCGTATAAATGTCTATTAATGCTTTATAAATTATTAATTAGCTGTTTACTATAATGCTTAATAGCATGCAGTTATAAAAAAAAAATTACCAAGTATTTTAGAGCTGTTTTTAAAGTCAATTTTATAGAGCTGTGCAATAATATAGTTTACATTTTGCATTGAAATAAACAATCATGCAGCAGACATTTGATAGGATTGCTTTATGTGAGTGTATGTAGGCCTACTATATATCCATTAAACAATATCGCTGAGTAATAATATTAGATTTTGCGATGATATAATCAATCAAGAAAGTTGGGTAAAGTAGAGGACCTGCAGGAACCATATATTCAACATGACTTATAAAGTTGATTAGTAAATAGACATGATTTAATTCATGTCAAAAATATGATTTAACATCTCTGATTTTAACATAAACAAAACTAGATTTAAAGATTATATCAGGCCTTAAAGTAAGAATTGCAGGTTATAGTTTTTAGGTTATCTAGCAAAACACTTATACAAAGTATGCTCATATTAAATATAACAACGCATTCTCATCCCAAAGCGTAATATATTGACTCTTTTGACAAAGCGTCTATATCCAACGCACAATATAACCCTTCAGAATGGGGAATACTGGTAGTGACATCTACCTCACAAGTTACTCAAGGTCACTAATATCAGAGGAACTTTTTTCAGCTGAATCGACTGCAGAGCACTTGTATTGCAGTTTTATTTCAGTTCATCCTCTCCTTATTTTAAAATTGAACATATTGCTGTAAGTAATATTTAGTAACAATAAAAACAGATTATTTAGTATGTCAGGCCACATCAGATGCTGTAAGCCTTTGATCCCCTAAAACTTTATCTAAGAGATAAGTCTTAGGCACAATCTTGTAAAACACAAACATTTATCTCTGGAGCTCAGATAACAATCAGTGTTTAGGGCTTCTGCAGAGTTTTTTAAGCTATCATAGTGTTCTCTTTAAACATTAACTCGTCTTATCAATGATTGGATGCAAAGCAAACTTTGAACTAGCATAGCGACTAACAGAGCTACAAAGCCATAATGTGGCTGGTTGGATTGCTGAACATTTGAAGACCTAAGCCAAAGTCAAAGTCGATATATTTACATTGTACAGGAGGAAACTACATGGGGTTTTTTCTGTTTCACGTAAACCACTGTGCAAACATGTAACACTACACCTAAAGCAGAAACATTAAACAGTCCAGGCACATGGCACTAGTTATTACAACAAATATTGACAGTATAAGTTAACACTGTTGGAATATTGCTTACTTTGCGACTGATCAAAAAATATGTTCTATATAGTTTGAGTGTGTGAATGAAAATCGAACGTACTACAACTGCCATGTTGTCACTCATGTGACCTATCAGTTGGGTCGCTTCACTGCCATTCACAAATCCTCTCCCATGGCCTCATGATGAGTCATGGGATAGTAAAGTGTCCAGTGGATGCACACTTCACAATCTCGATGGAAGCTGAAGGTCAGTTTTAGCAGGTCATCCATTCAGTTCTCCAAGTGTTGTTATTTTTGTATTAATAAAAGTATTGCTCCCTGTGTGAATCAAGCTGTGACAATTCTATTATACTAAGATCAATAATGACAGTTTAGATTTTAATTTTAGTCTTGACTTATTAGGCAGCAGAATTTACGTAGGCCCTTATAATTTGCACTTCTATCATCCATTCACTGATGTTTCCAGTGACAGAAGATGTAAACTCCCTTTACATGTGACAGTCAAAATAATAAAATAAGTCTTATTAGCCTGAAAATCATAACTGTAAAGTCATTTAATATCACTATCATAAATATGCCTTAACATTTGCAGATATCAGCTAAAGCACAATTTGAGTCAGAACATAATAAATGACTTCTGGTCTGTAATGTGGCTCAGTGGTAGAGCATAAGGACATGAGTTCAAGCCTGGCAACTCCATGAGGAAATGAATCCTCTGAGTCCCACTGCTACAGTAGCTCTGATGTAGAGTATATTTCAAGTAGCAAATAATGCGATATACATTGCAAGTGCTGTGTATTATGCCTTTCACCAAAACTGCAAACAAATCATTAATAGCTCATAATACTCTGAGTATCAGGGTAGTTCCTGTATTAATGCACAATAAAAGTATCCCCAAATGTTTGCAGGTATCTGCGATTTAATAAATGTAAATTAAATTATAATTCATATCTTTACTTGCGAAAAACAACATATTACTGTAAAATTACATTTAATGTTCTGGTTTTATTTCAATTACAAAAAATTTAAAAAAAAAAAAAAAAATCACAGTGAGAAACGTGGAGACATCTGGATGCGAAAACATTAATATTAATAAGTGTTTCTCCACATTTTGGTCTACATTTCACTTCAAATCTGTGTTACAGAGATTAATTCTGTCTGTCCTCATCTGGCACAGCGACTTTGATCTGTTTGGAGAAGTGCCACTCTCAAAGTTTACAAAAATAAATAACTGCACATGTTCAGAAATAGTGTGTGAGTCACATCTGGGGTTTCATATCAGTTTAAATGGAGCATATCACAGAGATGTGTATTTTTAGATGGATCATTCCATTAAAAGAACTTTTATTTGGGACAGTGGGATTCAAACTTGTGTGTTCATTCACTCATTCATTATCTCCTGTTCTTTTGTCCTGTAGTTTTACTGGGCACCATGTAAGTAATGTTTAATTTATAGCAGCTCAAGGCACAAATAAAAAACTCAACAACAACATCAACTGCCATTTCCCCTGTTATAGTAAAGGATGTTCACCTCTGCTTTGGACATCACTGAGGCTATAGACTTCCTTAGTTTATATGGGCACAAAATGTTTTGTCAGAAAGCAAATGTGTTTGAGAACTGTACATCTGTAGACAAGCGAAAATTATCTAATTTAAAGAGGTGCAGAAAAGGTCCTGAATGGAACGCTAACCTAAAAAGCTGTTAATGGCCAAAAGATTTAGTTCCCCTAATCACCTGAGCCATCTCATTTACAAACCATAACACCAAAACTGCTCTACAATTGAGGAGATTTGAGTGAACAATAAGAGAAGAATAAGGAAAGAAAAGGTGATAACGGTTATGATTTTGCACCACTCAATGGGAAGGTGTCAGAGTTTAAATATTTGGGTCAAATATGGACAAACCCAACCATTGGGTTTAAAAATGTAATTCAAACATTCAAACTTCCAGTTGTGTTTGTCCATGTTTGACCCTTGTTTTTACATTTGTTTTTAGAGTGCATTAAAACAGTTTTAAAGCTTCCCTTTCAAGGTTAGCATCTGTGATTCATTTATTGTGTCTTCATGATTAATTGTGTGTCCTGTTCTTGCAAGAATAGAAACAGAGAAATAAGGAAATGTGCAAACAAAAACACATTGATACATGCTGTCTCATTAATTTGTTTTCTATATCATTGTTTACTCACAGCAAAGCTGCACATCACCCAAGGGATGCATTTACATCCCTGCAAATCATAATCTCCACCACAACAAAACTGAATCCTTATTTCTCTTTTCAATGATTGTCATGTGTCCCTCAAAACGTCTGCTATTGACAGCATTTG